TTAATTATATTATATTAGAATTAAATATTTAATAATAAATTGATTTAATAATTCATTATTTCATAAATAAAAATTAAAAAAAAAAAACCTGATTTTTGAATTGGTGTAAAGTATACGCCTTATTTATGAATTTTTCCCAAAAAAAAATAAAAGTAATGAAAGATGCTAAATCTAAGTCCCCTCTAATGTTGGGCCAGCTGGCCTCACTCTCCTCGACCCAAAACCATGCATGTGTACATCTAGCCCAATTCTTTAGCCGTCGCCTCATAGACATCGTTCTTGAATGGCTTTCCAAGAGCATTAGGGATGGAAAAACAAAGCAAATTTTATTTAATAGAAATAAAATAAAAATGATACTGGGGTGAGTTTGTTCTTTTGAATCATCAACTGATCAGTATGGATTTTTCTTTCTTATTATTAATATAATTGAATCTAAATGCTAAACACCACTCACACCATATTTGCACATCATTTAATTACAATATCCACTCAGAATCCTGATTCCATGCCACAAAAGGAAAGGACTGTCCATTCAAAATTTTAAATTTTATCCCAAAGTATTAAAACATAAAACTCCATTCACCAATACTTCAAATTCTGATGCACATTTATTCACTATCCTATGCATAAACAATGACACTCAAATGCGGTACCTCACAAGTGGATCTTTAAGAAAAAGACGCTCATGGTAGACTCTCCATGCATAATCCTCGAAACAAAATGACTGGAAAAGCCTCTCTTCTCCTGCATCCTCGGAACAATGGCCATCATCTTCGTTTTCTTGCTCCTCAATACCATTAATAGCTAACTTCGGAATAAGGGGAGAGACTGTGCTTTCGATGGGGAGGGTAATTAGCAGAGACATTGAACTTACGTCATCTCCAGATACAGGCAACGCTCTTCCTCTCACTTTCTTGAACCTTCCGTTGCTCCAAACCTGTCAAATATTTAATACCTCTCAATTTCTACAGAATAAGGAATTTCGATAGCGGACACATCAGATTGATAA